GAGAGAGAGAGAGAGAGAGAGAGAGAGAGGATAGAGAGATCAACAGAGAAAGAGAAACAAACAAAAAGAGAAAAAGTCAAAAAAGAAAAAAAAAAAACAAAACAACACAAACATCCCCTTACCGCCTCCCCCTCTCTCCCCCCATCCCCCACCCCGCCCACCCTCCATCACCCCCAACATCACGAAAACAGCAAAACCTGCCCACATAACTTCAGCACTGACTTCAATAGCCCCCTACATACCAGCATGGCACGCGACCACACCGAAGCCGCCTCATAACGCATACACCACACGGATCTATAATAACTCCATTATTTACGGGTCGGAGAGTAGCCGCTGTAGGCATAGCGGTATGGCGTGTTGCTGCTAATAAGGAAAGGCGATTGTGGGGGTGGGGTGGGGTGGGTTGTGTTGGTAGGGGTGGGTGGGGGTGGTGTTGTTGTTGATGTGGTGTTCTTGTGGTTGTTGTTGTTGCTTTTGGTGTTGGTGTTGTTTGTGTTGGTGGTGGTGTTGCTTATTATTATTGTTGTTATGATCACCATTGCTATTATCATTATTATTGTATTATCATTGCATTATATTTGTTATTGGGTTATTATATTATTATTATTATTATTATTATTACTTATTATTATTATTATTATTATTATTATTATTATTATTATTATTATTATGTATTATTATTATTATTATTTATTATTATTATTTTTATTTATTATCATTTTTTATTATTATTTATATTATTATTCATTATTTAATATATTATTATCATTATTATGATATATTATATTATTATATTATTATTATTATCATTATATTATTTATTTTTATTATATTATTATATTATTATATATTATATTATTATTAATTATATTATTATTATTATCATTATTATTATTATTATTATTATATTATTATTTTATTATTATTATTATCATTATTAATTATCATTATCATTATTATTATTATTTATTATTATTATTATCATTATTATTATTATTATTATTATTATTATTATTATTATTAATTATTATTATTATTATCATCATCATCACTCTCACTAACCAGTATAACTACCCCTCCCCCCCTACCCCTCACCTTTCCCACCACCCCTCACCCATCCCACATAAGACCCAAACAATATGGGGCAATTCCACCCGTATGTCCCGCCCGCGACGTAGCCTAACATCTGTATTGGCGCCCATGTTGTAGAAACTCCCACAGTAGGGGCAGATCTGGCGGAGGCGACCGGCAGCCGGTTCCAAAGTCACTGGAGGGAGAGAAAGAGGGAGATTAGGGAGAGGGTCGTAAAAAAGGGGGTCTGATTTTTTTCGGTTGTGGATGATGATGATGATGATGATGATGATGATAATGTAATAATAATAATAATAATAATAATAATATAATAATATAATAATAAATAAAATAATAATATAATAATAAATATAATAATAATAATGATAATGATTAATAATAATAATAAATAATAATAATAATAATAATAATAATAATAATAATAAAATAATATAATATAATAAAATAATAATAACAATGATAATGATAATGATAATGATAATAATGATGATGATAATGATAAAAATAAGGATAACAGTAACAATAATAACAATAATAACAACAACAAGAACAGTAATAACGATGGTCATGATAATATAAATCATCATTGTTACCACCTACATAGTTATCGACTGACATTTCTACTATAGACACGAACATTAAGCTAACACATCAATGTATAGTAACATTAATTATTAAGCATATTGCTATGACCTTATTTGTGAGTGTGACCTTCAGGTGGTGGCCTAGAAGAAGGGAAGAGATGGAAAATCAAGATGAGAGAGAGGAAGAGGGAGAGAGAAGGAGGGAGAGAGAGGGAGGGATAGATAGATAGATAGATAGGGAGAGAGGGATGGAGGGAGAAGATAGAGAGAGAGAGAGAGAGAGAGAGAGAGAGAGAGAGAGAGAGAGAGAGAGAGAGAGAGAGAGAGAGAGAGAGAGAGAGAGAGAGAGAGAGAGAGAGTAGGAAGATAGATAGATAGATAAATATAATAACTACACGAAAAACAAAAACAGAAACAAAATACTAGTCATAAATATAAGTTCGTAGTCCCCTATAAAAACAGAAAGATAAAAACGTCTGCTTACGCTACGGCAGCTGATATATGTATTCATATATTTCTTACATGTTTTTTTATCAATATAATGATTCGCTCTCATGCTATTTAATGTGAGTAGTACTATATATAGTACATACACACTTGTTGACAGAAATGAAGTCTTCAGCCGAGTCATGCCTGTTATAATCCTAAGTTTATGGGATCTGATGCTAATCAAGTGTTCCGAAAGGCTTTTGAAACGCTTATTACTGAAATTATAGATGATTGTTATGGTCTTAAGGACGCAGAAGGGGAAGAGGGAGAGAAGTAAATACGAGATGGAAGGGATAATGTGAATAAAAGCGGAGATAGAGGGGAGAAAACTA